TACTTATGACTGGTCCTCACATTTATGCCCGTCACAGCATCCGGTGTCATGATCAGAATTTGGGCACTTGGAAACCAGCATGTATTTACAATGGCTCTGTCCCTTCGCCATTTGAGAAGAGCCATAACGAATGACATAACAACTGTACAATTCACTTAACAACCATCTTGTTTAGTAACAGAAATTCTGGTCCCAACTGAGGTTGAGGATTACCTGTTCTCATGATTTCTCTCAGACAAATTTTTATTGATTTTTAACCTTAGTTCCAATGGGTAAAATAACCGTGACATAACTCTGTTTAGGAGACACGGGCAGCCACTGTACTTCAGTGAGAGGTTTTCCTGTTCTGTGAATGAATAAAATGAGGATATATTTTCTACCACTTGCCCACCATGGCATACACTTTTTATTCAAAATTTTACCAATTAATTACTAGATCAAACAGCAGCAGCATTGTAATAGAATTACATGATGGCTGTCAAAAGTAAGTGCTGGATTATCATGTCTCAATGAAAATGAATAATCAGTGCAAATTGGCCAAAAAGGCCACATTTTAATGGATCTGCTGCCTGTAATCCAACAATTTATGATATTTGTCATGACAATTTTCATACTCCAGTATCACAGAAAACGTTGCCACCCTAACTGTAACAGATTTATCTCAAGGAGACAATTAAAATCTTACTAAGACACAATTAATAACTTTATTTTAAAAATGCTATCCCGCCATCATGATTTTCATTGGAATTCTGCCTATAATTCCCTATGTATGTGGAACAGGACAGAGCAAGTTGTTTTCCTGAATGGGGTCTGTAGCTTCTCTGCTTCCCTTTGATAATTTCTCTCTCTTCTGAAGGAAATCAGCTTGGTTTCCCTCCTTCCTGTTGCATTCTTCTTCCCTAAGGGTGCTGAATGTGGCTTTGGCTGGTTTCTTTGCCCTGAAGGATTAACAATTCATCTTGAAAATCTGTTGGCTGGAAAGTCTTTGAAGGCCTCACTCTTGAGGAAGAGGCCAATCCTATTGATGGGTCTGGCCACACCCTGGGCTTCCAGATAAATAAGCACAATATCCCTCACTTAACACAGGCCACACTTTCTAGGCACATACCCTTGTGCCTGCAACAGGAGCTGGGTAAAAGGCATTCCTTGGGGGCTTGAAGGCTTTCTGTTGCTGATGCCATCTGTCCATGAAAGGGAGAGAAGCTTAGGAGGAGAAATCAAGAAATGCCAGGTACATCAGGTGAGTCTTGTAGAGGAGGGAGATGAAAAAAAGATAAGAAAGCAATTTCCTGCCAACATTATCTGGGTATAATAGTAAAATATAGCAGAGGGGAGAAAAGGAGTGAGAGCAATGTAGGGGCTATCTTTTTCAGAGTTAGATCTTTGAAGTCTATGAGAAATTCTGAATTAACTGTTAACTGGTACAAACTGTTCCAACAAACTCCAAAGATGCTGGGGACTGACCTGCAACTTAACTAAATATAAAGCACGTGCTATAGCACAAAGCTGTGCTCTCTGCTGTAGGGAGATGGTATTTCTGGACAAATCCATTTTCTGGATACAGTGGAGAACCCATTGGAGCATAGAGAATCAGAATTGTAAAGTTATGAGGGACCGTCCAATCTAATATCTGGGTCAGTGCAGGAATCTGAATTAATGCATCCTGGAGTGATGGCTAACTATCTTTTGCTTGATCGTATCCAATAAAGGGAAGACCCCACCAGTAATTAATTCTACTGCCAAACTGCTCTTACAGTTAGGAAAGACATTTTCTTAGTTGGAACATTTAATGTGAGAAGAGAACCAGCTCTTTTTACATATAGTGTGTTCTTTTTCATTGTTTATTTTATGGGTCTATTATTTTGCTTCTGCTCTGCTTACGCTCCTTTCATTTTCTTCTGTTTTATTATTGTAATAAATAACACACACACCCCATGCCTGTACTCTTAAGAATTGGGGCAACTTTCTGTAGGGGAAACTTCATCATTTCAACAGCATCACAAAATAGTAGTAGTAGTAGTAGTAGTAGTAGTAGTAGTAGTAGTAGTAGTAGTAGTAGTAGTAGTAGTTTGTTATATTTTGTTAGAACTGGAGAAGATAACTAAATACAAAGACCTACAAATAGAAATAGAATGACTATGGCAAAGGCAAGCAAGGGTAGTACCAATAGTAATAGGTGCCTTGGGTGCAGTCCCAAAACAATTGGAGTACCACTTGAACACCATAGGCATTGACAAATTTGCCATCAATCAATTGCAGAAGGCAGCCTTACTTGGAACTGCTTCCATCCTGCGATGATATCTGTAAAACCATTCTTGTCTTGTCTTGTCTTGTCTT